GGGAACTCAGTGGACAGCAGACTGACAATAGGGCAAATATACAGGAACCAATCCTTGCATATGAGATTTAGAACTGCACAAAATACAATTAGAACTGCACATTTTGTGTAGAACTGCACGTTACAAAAACGCTGATCTAAAAAAGTAGAGCTGGTAGAGAAAAACTGATTTTATATTTAGATTCAGCGCCTTAAATATAACTAAAATTAGTTCTAAAATCCTAGACACCAAAAAAAAATTTTTTTTTGTAGGCCTGTGTAATCTGAATACCTCTTAACACCTGAACAAGTTTCATTTTATCATGACTCATACAACCTTTAAAGTCTGCATCCTCTTGTGTTTTATATTAAGCTATCAATAAAATTGTACTTTACCTTTTAAAAATCATCAATGCAAGTTTTTGTCATACTGATAGCTTTTAAAGACAAAATACAATTTTACTGACAGATTAAGCCTCATTTAAGGTAACTATGAATGTATTACATTCTTAAATCACCCACTGTTTAATATTAGTTTATGAATTAAATGAACTGCCAAAATATTAGAGATTACTTCACCATATGAGCATGTATTCAATTATCCAGTGTCTGTAATCTATTCCCTACAACATACTGAGTGATAAGCTTCTTCTGAAATCTCCACATTTACTAATATATCCAGTCATCAAATACAATATATGGATTCAAAGACCATCATAACAGTAACTCTAGTTACAGTGAACATGTTTAAATCAAATGGGAAACTGAAAGTTTTAACACAGAGAATGTGTTTCATATGTAATTCCAGAGAAAGCCATTTCTTACTCTACAAATAAGAACACAAGTCAGAATTAAATTCTTTAGATGAGAATAATTTAGATGTTTGTTATAATAAATGACAAATTAATTTATATGAATGTTTAGGCAATGGCATCACTATTCCAGAATTGTGGTCTGCACTGTCTTGCAATCTTCCAAGCAGTGTGTTCTCATCTGGGGCATATCATACCTTTTTTTTTTTTTTTGCCTTACTCTGAACTTTCTGAACCTACCAAGTGCATTAAACTACTAACATACTCACTTTAATTGTTCTATAGTTCCACTCAGTCAATTACAGCTAGATAGATTAGCATCATATACTAAATCAAGTAATGCCACCAAACTTACAACATGAGTAACTTCAGCTTTCTTCTTATCAACAGTCAAATCTACTTTCCCACACAAAACCTTGCGTTCAAAATCTACATCCAGGTACAAACTGACTGAAGAAACTTCAGCTTCATCTGTGAACAAAATGAACCTACAAGCCTCTAAAACATATATTATTATCCATTAATGCAAGAATTACTCTCATGTAACACAAAACATTATTCAACAAGTAAACCACACTGTTCACAACTGCAACAACAGTAACATTATGTCATATTATTTTAATTAGAATTAGGTTTCATACAGTAAGCACTGATTACAGTTGCTTAACAATAAATACTGATCACCAGTTAAGTTATTTGTTCAGAAATCTACAACTCAGGCTTCAACTCTCACATCCTACAAATAAAAAAACATGGTGTTTTGTTTCCAATTCCATATGATTTTTTATTTGGAATTCTAACACTATATTAAGCATGGGAGAGAAATCATGTATGTGGGTCACAGGCATGCAGTGGAGGATGAACAAACAAAGGTAGCAGATGGAAGCTGTGGCATCAGGATGGAGGCTAAGGGCTGGTGACTGCCTGGAGAAGATAGAGTTGGTGCCCTATAAGGGCAGTATGCACAGACCTACAGCGTGGCATCACAGAGAACCCAGATCTAGTCCTATGAAGGATAATTCCCATCTTTCAGGGAGCAGATGAGAGATTTCCATGAATTAATTAGAATCCATCATGATGTTCTGGGTTCCTTTTGTTACCTCTGTTCCTTCATCCTCCACTGCATCCCTTCTCTCCCATGCTCCTTAGTTCCCTGCTCACATCACCCTTACAATTTCTCCCCTTCTTTTCATAGACTGGACCATGCTAGTTATCCTGTTGTCTCCTACTGGTTTGCTTACTTGCATGCGAGAGCCAGCGAGTACTGGCAGTTCATTTTGTCAATTTTGTCCTACAGGCAAGTCAATGGGAATTGAAATGCTGCCTTCCATTTCCCTGCTGTTTCCTATTTAATCCAAAATATCAACAAGCCAATTGCTCTGCTTGCCACCTACTTTCAAGATAGTTTCTTGCTTGCCTAATTCCTCAACCCTGAAGATGAAGGACACAGTTGACTTTCAACACACTACACGGTGTTATATACCAAAAGATAGAACTCTTCATAATCACTGCTATGAGAACCTCAAATCCTAAACAGTAAACTGATCCCAGGAGGTTTCAGTATTCACAGAATTGGGCTTCTGGGACTCTGCTACCAGCATTACTGCAACTGATCAGCAATTCTGCCACATAATCAAATCACTGTAAATTTAAAACAGTGAACACTATATGCAGAAATCAGGCATAAAAAGTCCCATTTAATCCAGTGTGACATGCAATTTATTTCTTATGACATTCCGAGTCGCATAAAATTTCATTTGAAGAGGAACACTGACCCTGATGAAGGTACTCGAATTCATTTATGGCTTATGTAACAGCAAATTATACTGTGTCGAATGGTAACATTATTACCAACAGATGAACTGCTAAGTATGTAACACGACGCCGTGGCCTATAAATAGTAGTAATATCCCAGCATTCGCCTTCAGAAGCTGAGGAACACTCCCAATATGACATAACGGCTGGTCTCCGGTAAAATGAATTCAGAGAGGACCACGAGTGCAGCCCACGCGACTTAAATTTTCGGTACCTATAGTTAATGGTACCGATCAAGTTTAAAGTTGACAGTTAAAATACTACAGCGGCCACATTTTATAAATGTTTTATGACAATTAGAAACAATTATGCAACTGTCATACCTGGCCTTGCAAACGAGCTTGGATCTCCAGGACTCAAACCTTGTGCTGCCATTTTCACACTGCTACCGTATAAATCGGTAAATCGGTACAGATAAGCTAGATAAGATTATGACTTTCAATTTCCAGTTTCGCCGGTAAGCAACACGGTGCATCACTATCAGTAACCGAGGTAGATAGACTCAGGTGAATGGTAACAGGAACTACTTTAATGAACACACTGCTGTAAACGCTGTAATCAACTATGGAATTGTGCAGAACATGCACGACGGATTTCTTCGTTATACCAAGTCACTGACTATATATAATTTCAGTAGACTGGGAATAAAAACACATATGCAAGTTTCTGCTGTTGTGTAGATTCCATGAAGGAAACCATCCAATACAAGTCTTGTAACGACATTCCTCAGTTCAGAATCCACTTCAGGGCATTTTTGGTTAATCATAGCACCTAGTGATTCGTGGATCGTGTCATCTCTGGCACGTACTTACCTAACACATGGTGGTCTCCGGAAAGTAGGTAAGAACTGCACAGGAGGGAAAAGGGCAAAACAGGGAATTGTCGAGATGAGAGTTCCGACATGTGACTAAATATTGTATCTTGGCTCAGTGAAAATCGGCTATGCATTATTAGGTCGGTAATTAGAGTCGGCTGCATGTGAAAGGAACGTGATAGGAGATGGCACACCAACAAAACTGACAACTGCAACGCAACAGCAATTTCCGAGAATTATTAGCAGCCTGGACCGCCTCTGTGGTCTAGTGGCCAGAGTTCCTGGCTACAGATCCAGAGGTCCCGAGTTCGATTCCCGGCGCTACCAGCTTTTCTGAGAAGTGGTGGGTCTGGAACGGGGTCCACTCAACCTTGTGAGGATAACTGAGGAGCTATTTCAAAGAAACATCGGCTCCGGTCTAGGAAATCGACATTTACGGCCATGGGAAACTTTTTTATTGTATAAAAAAATTATTGTAAATGGGCAATGCCCATCCGGCCAATGTTGCGCTGACCACGTGACACCCTCTATCTGCAAAAGTTGACACTAACTTCGCCGACAAGCTGCTGTCACTTGGCCAGTATAGTTCTCTTGCGAACTACAGGCCACGGAGATATCAGCCTGAGTTGAACACGTGTTAGTTAGTTAGTTATCGGAGAGGGTGGGTTTCCTCATGCACTTAGACCTGTATTGGTCCATTGTGCTTCCCTCTATGATTTCTACCAGTCTCTATATCCTACCGGTACTGGTGCTTAACATCAGTCCCGCCCAGCCAGCGAGACCGGCTCTACTAGCTGAGAGGTATCTATAATGCTTCCCCCATCTACCGGAGGTATTAGAGACTGCTCTTGGGCGGGAAACGTCCGTAATTTGGCTCAGTGATCTCCTTTGGAGATATGAGGTTCTTTTACGTGCCGTAAAGCTACGACTCTGGATCCAGGTTAAGATCTTTCGAATCAGTACGTATAAGCGTCTCAATTTAAATTGTCTCAGAAAACGGATACACACAATGTTTTCTTCTCCTAATACTGTATTTAAGCATCCGGTTGCATTAATATATCATTTACTAACCGTCTTACTTACTCATATAGCTGAGCCCTTCTTGAGGAGCCGCCAATTCTGCAGCTATTCAAGAATTTCCCAGCATTTTACGGAACCCGAAGGTTCATCACGGTGTTCACAAGAGCCCTCCACTGGTCCCTATCCTGAGCCAGATGTATCCAATCCATACCATCCCATCCTATCTCTCTAAGATCCATTTTAATATTGCCCACTCACCTACGCCTTGGTCTTCCCTGTAGTCTCTTTCCTTCTGGCTTTCCTACCAATATCCTATATGCATTCCTCGTCTCCCCCATTCGTTCTACATGACCTGCCCACCTCATCCTCCTTGACTTGATCATTCTAATTATACTTGGAGAAGAGTACAAGTTATGAAGCTCCTCATTATGCAGTTAAGCTGTCATCAAGCTGTGAATGTATTGAATAAACAGTCACGGACAGCCGACAAGGGGTGGCCCACTAGCTTGGGGGTTGGTCGTGGGGCTAACAACTCCTCACCATAAAAAATCATATTTTATGAAAATGAACACAAATATATCATTTATTTCACATATATTTCCATCATAAATACAACTTATATAGTCATCCTTCTTCCACATTACATGGTTCGGCTATATGTGGCCATCATCTGGTTTCTTCTATCTTTTTAAAATTGTTGCACTGTATGTCAAAATTTTGTAGCACGTGTGGATGCCATATTTCCTGATTAAAATAAATTGACGTTAATTGAAACAAATTAACTTTCAAATCTACAACTTGTACACCTGGTGATGGACAATTAGGCTGAAACATGTAGTGTTCGAATAACAATTCTTTTTAAGGGTGAATTTTAATATATGGAGGAAGTTGCACAGGGACACTGAGGAGTGCGAGTGGTAATTTCCATGTGGGCCCTGTCTTTTTGTGTCACTTAACATTCCAAGCAACAGCGTTACTAGATCACCTCCCACAAAATTAAAAACGAGTCTCAAAACTTATTTGCCTGACTTTTTATTAGATGTAAAATATTTTTTAATTCTTCAATATAAAATTTGTATTCCGTTTTTCTCAACCATTTCTGTTTGATAAATATTTAATGTGATATGCACAGAAATGTGTGTAGGTCTTCGGGTAAAGTGGTCAATAAAATAGTCCAATCTGAATGAAAAGTGATATAACTACACATTTCTTTGTAACATTCCCCAGTGTCAAATTTCATGAAAAATTCATCCAGTGCTTCTCAGATTGTTTCAGGTGCACAGACAGATGGACAGATTGAACTTAACAGGTGCTCTACAGAGTTCCAGATGTGTCTGAAAAGATCAGCCTCAAACTGGATAATCCATGCATGGACAATCAGGCATACAGTTCAGTGATAAACATCATTATTATGCATTTTGTTCCATACACCAGACCATTGATCTGTCAATAAAGGAGTAAGTTTTTCAGCAGTAGTCAGATTTTAAAGCAATGAAGAAGTGCAATTCACAAATGTGGACAAAATAAGCCATTTTCACTTTTCATCATATGTGTGTTTCTTTCAACTTCCTGTATTTGTTTATTTCATTGTCATATTCATCCACTTCTTTCATTATAGTCTTCTTAATTGTACTTTATAAGAATTCCCACAAGGAAAACGAACTGAATGAAGCTTGAAATGTGATCAACAGCTGAACTAAGTATAATCCAATACTGCTGGATTTCCAGATGTGTTGAAGTAGGAGTTCTAGTATTAATATCTGCACAGCTTTCATGGACATTGAAATTTTCTTCAAGTTGATTGTAGGTTTTACTAGCCTGTAACAAGTATAACATAGTATGATTACAACACTCGCAGCTAAGAAGGGAACACACATCACAAGACGCGGTTTACACAGAAAATAAGAAAAACGACCCCGTAGTGAACAAATCACATGCAAGTTTTAATTAGGACAAATAAGATGAATTATCTTAACAAGTTTTAGCGAGTGTAAATTTGTCATAGTTGACAAATACGGACTTTTTAAATGCTTTTTAAATGGTGTTGTGAAAACATATGAGGGCAAGCAATGCAATAGATTGACGTAATTGGGACACCTGATGATGGCACTGTGTTGCTGAAACATGTTGTGAAGTGACAGGTGAAATTGAGTGCACTACAAGACGGCCGCTGTATACATATAATGGATAGCAATGAATTAAATTGTTGACACAGTAGGTGGTGAATATTATAGCTTAATGCTTAAGCAGTGATGTTATGTATATAAGAGCACCAAACCATGTTAATATCTAGTTAAACATGTTGGAATAGAACTTTAAGCTAATGTTTCTCAATTGATCATTTTTATAAAGGTCAAGATGACTGCTGAGCAGATAACTGACAATGCTGCTTGAAATTAAATTGTAATTACATTTCATATGCAGTTTGCTGAAGTTCTTTTACATTTTGACTTATACCACTATATTTTAAAATAATAGATATAACAATCATCTAAAATACTTAACTGTACGTAATAAAAATATTTATAAATTAAGGTATCAGACACTTAAGTTATCAATATTGTTGTTAACATGTAATGTATTCAGTTATATTGAAATTGCTTTAAAATTACATATTCATAATAAAATATCGCAGTTTATTTATTCACATGTGAGGATTTCCAGTGTTTTCATCTGCTTAGTGTGGTCTCCACTGCATCCAGAGGGATATACACTGCTTCATAGAAATGCACATTCATAAAATTAATATTTCTTGAAGTATTTTTAACATGTCACTGTGAGCTAATTTAAACTATTTGATTTGTTAAATTCATACTGTATGGTTATTTAGGAAATATTAGATATGCTTGAATCGTTTTTACTCATTTTTTTTGTCATAGTATCGATTCTGTTTACGAGCTATAATGCCTCAATCAGTATAGCTATGGACTGGATGGCTGGGATTTGATTCCCAGCAGTGGAAAGACTGTTCTCTTCTCCACAGCATCCAAACCAGCTGTGGGGCCCACCCAGCTTCCTATTTAATGGGTGACGGGGGCTCTTCCCCCAAAGGTAAAGTAGCAGGGCCATGAAGCTGACCACTCACCTCCATTTAGTGCCAAGGTCAAGAATGGTGGAGATATATCACAATCCCGTTTTTATGGTGTGGTGCTTACTTAATTACACACAGAGACAGCTTTACCTTTCTTTAACTTTTACCAGTTCAGTGTGACTGTGTTGTAGCTTCCACAAATGTTGGGATAGTTCCTGCAGGTATTGGTAGTCTGCGATCTCTTACAAACCTCTCCTGGCAATTTACATTTCAGCACTACATAATTTCTGCAGTTGTCAACAACTTTAGCCATTTACTATGACTGATGCACTGACTGATTCTACAGAGCAGAGTTCATTTTGAGAAGCCTTTTATAGAACTCTTAAATGTTCGTTACTGTGTTCACAAGAGTGTGCCACCAGTTTTTGTCCAAAGCCATATGAACTAAATCGACATCCTTGCACCCAATTTCTGTAAGATCTATTTTTAATATTATCCCACCATCTGTCCGTAGTTGTTCCAAGTAATCTGTTACTTTCTGGGTTTGATGTAGTAGATCCCTGAACATATAATTATGAGGGCTAGGACACTGAAGAAAAAGAGGAAAGAGGACAAGGATAAAAAGAAGGAAGAATATAAGAATAAGAGGACGGATGAGGAAGTGGAGAAGGAAGGGAACAATAAGAAGAGAATAAAAAGGGGAGGAGGAAGAATAGATGAAGAGGGAAAAAATGATGAAAGAAAGAGTAGAAAAAGATAAGGTTAAGGGGGGAAGAGAGGGAAAGGAATATGAAGAGAAGATTGAAGAGAAAAGGTAGAAGAAAGATGAGAACAACACTGATGAAGACAGGAAGGTTTTTTTCCTGATGTCTAGGATGATAAGAATTCAGTTAAATGTTCCGTTCCACATTAACATCATAAGACCTATAGTATAGTGAGCATTTAGATTAAATGACATAATAGCATCAGGTTATTAGAGATATTGATGTCATAGTTGGTTAAGTAACGATTAGCGTAACAAAACACAGAGAATTATATTCCTAGTTTGAAAACGTTGGTATTTCTTGTATTATAGGTTTAAGTAGCAGAGATATGGTTTATTCAAATGCTTATTCAATTTCATATAAAATATAACAATAATAAAACTCTACGTGTTTAATTACTACATTTGAAATATTTTTCTTTACCTCTGTCTTGACTTGAGGTAAAAATAACATAATCCGTGTGACTGGTAAAGTGATGAGTGCACAGATAAATGTAGGCGGTGGAGACGCATGCGCATAACGTGAGATGTTGATCACTATTGTAGTTACCAAAACTGACATCAGTCCTGCTATCATACTCCAGCTGTACATCAGCACTGCAATATTACATCACACAACAGAATGAGGCCAGTCTTGTAACAGCAAGACCTTAGATTACAAATGTATTATACATAGTGGTTTGATATATGTTATGCAAACAACGTATCTAATAAAATAAAATAAATGTATGGAAAATGGAAGTAATTCAGGGCAGAGCCCCTCAGCAGCAGTGGTGCAAGTAACACACTAGGAAATATAAAGAGGCAACTGTATGTAGTTTCATGTGTTTGTTAAACATATATCTTATCAACCCTCAGTTCACCTAATCACAAGTCCAGCATTCACAATGTGAGTAAAGGGCCATACATGTAAAGATCTGATTGAACTTCCTTCCATAATTTACTGTGTTTGTCTGTTGGCATTCCTTTTTTGGAAATTCACATTGTAACAAACATCAGGACCAGTGTAACTGCACAGACAAATCAAGCAGCCACCTGGGGCAGTACTATTTTAAGGGTAACATGTTTTACAATCTTTGTTTTTGCATTTTGTTATTTTCTGTCATAGTGTCCGAGCATTCCATGTTATTAATTGTGACAAAATTCTGAGAAAATTGAACTCTTTTTAACAGTGGGAGGGGGCAATTTCTTGCAGCATGGGCCAGCAAATAGGGTTGTGCCAGCCCTAACAAACAGTATACTTAAATGTTATATCTGAATGTCTTAACCATCTCTTGTGTATACTTTAATACTACCAGTACATTAATATTACAATTTGATATTACTAGTAGCACTATTTTGCAGTGTCAAAGACTTCTTACCCAGGCATGGAACATGTTCGGCAGGGGCTGGCAGTGCATTTCCAACTGTAACTGTGAAAATTGCAAGCAACACAAGACACATACATTGAATGGAAAATTTCCCAGTGTTCATAGATGTCATCCAGAATGACAGCATCATCAGTACATTTATCACTGAAAGATAGAAAACAAATCATTACATTTTACCCATCATTTGATCAATTTCTTTGACTGAATTATTTTATAAGATATCTGAAAATAGTTGTAACAACTGTATATTTAGATGCATATTTGTATTAGGCACAGTTTTCATATCATAATATGTTCTACATTCTTGACCTAGTACCACAAAGGATCTGTGGAACATAAATTCTATTTTAGTCTATATCAGTGCTGTATAATTACAAAATTACTATTTAATAATTACTTCTTGCATGGATTATGCTAGTATATTAAGAAAATGTAAAAGCAGAAAGTGCATAAATTGTAATATTACACATACCAATTAATGGCACCACAAAAATAATATTTTGTTGTTGGCTTTGACGTCTTACTGTTACACGGATAGTTAGAGTACCAGATGTTAACATATCAGCATCCACATCCTGGTTCCATGGTGTACGAGAGATTACTGTCTCGGATTCCAATTTTATCACTTCCCACTCAGATCCTGTCCTTTGTTCATCCTCCATCTGAATCAGATTATCAACAGATATAAATAGCGCATTTGCTATAACATAAAATCATATAATTTTATCTTGCTCTCAAACTGTGGCCCCTTATCAGAATCGAACCCCAATTTCTCAGGCTGAACAACCCAGAGATTGGGGTTTGATTCCCTGCAGGACCAAGCGATTTTTCTGTTCTCCACAGCATCCAGACTGGCTCTGGGATCCAGCCAGCCTCCTATACAATCCAAATGTGCATGGTATTGGACAAGGAGAAGCCAGGCATAAGAAGTATAAGAGGCTTAAACTTGGCAGCAGTCAGGCCTACGACCATTCAGCTGACTAAGTGTAGTTTCAGGGTAGTTGCATAAGTTAAGGCATAACCTTCTGCATGAGCATTCATCGACAGAAAATCTCTGTATACCTTACAAAAATGTTACTTAGTATAATGCAGTGACAAAGGATGCATAGACTTTGTAGTGACCTGGACGCCATGACGTTGCAGATATACTCATGTTGAAAGTACAGTGCAACAAACATAGCGCCTACATAGAAAGACTGACCCTTACTTTGTCAAAGGGGAGGTCCAAGTTTGAAACATGTACAAGTCTAGGAGAGAACAGAAATCCTGGTCTTGGATCTCAAGGTGACTGAAGCCAGGAATGATTGTACTGGTGAAGGCCATGAGCAGTTTAACTGACTGACCAATCAGGATCCCACAGGAAGGGGAACATCGACCGTCGAAAGCCGCAACCAAGCAATGACATTGAAGACATGACTGTGGACACTAGTATGTGTGTGTAACAGTGAATTGTATAGTCATGCACCGTATCAAAGTGTGCAATAAATCAAGTCATGAACCCAAAACTCATCTATAGTCACTCTGAAATCGTGACAGCATTATCTGATCTAGTACATGCCTAAACACATTAAAATTAAATTTCTGTTTCTTAAATTTTATTTTATTTTATTTTTCATAATCGTTTCAGAACTGCCATTAAAATTTCATATTCAGCTTTATTTCTTTTCTTAATATTCTACTTATCTTCTCACCTTTTAAAATATACTGTCATATAGGTATATGCTAGCTCTTAATACGCTTGTTACTATTTACAAGTGTCTTCTTTTTTTTCTTCTTCAAAAAAGACTTTGTTACTTGGAATACTATTCTGGGGCAACTCACCAAATGCTAAATTGATTTTTAAGTTGCAAAAGAGAGCTATTAGAGCTATGATGCAAATTCAGAAAACTACTAGTTGTAAACAGTATTTTAATTATTTAAATATATTGCCCTTACCATGCTTGTATATTTATGAAACTCTGGTATACACAAAATCAAATTTGAATACTCTTGCAACCAATTCGGAAATACATTCATATAATACAAGGGGAAAAGATAAGCTATATATTGTTTAATGTAATACCAGTTTATGCAAAGACAATTTTATTAATACTGGACTTCGTATGTTCAATCATTTACTGTATTATATTAAGGAGACACCAGCACTATACATATTCAAGAATGCTTTGAAAAACTTCCTGTTTGATCATTCTTTTACAGTGTAGACGAGTGTCTTACTTTTTTAGAAAAGAGTTCTAGTTAGTCTAAATTATATATTCCAAGATTCCAAGAATCAATTAGCCTCATAGTATTGAATAATACAAGTCATGAGAACACTTACCACCAGTTCATTTATTATTTTTACAGTGTAGACAAGTATTTTATTTTTTAGAAAAGAGTTCTAGTCAGTCTAAATTATATATTCCAAGAACCAATTAGCCTCATAGTGTTGAATAATATAAGTCATGAGAATGCTTACTGCTCAGTTCATTTATCTCTCCAGGAAATAACACTTCGTGACTGCTTCTGGGAATTATCTGCCTGGTGCCATCTTAAGGAGGATTCAAGACCACAGAAACTGTTTTCAAGACTGCTAAATTATTATAGTCATTTATTATTATATTGCCATATTATTATCTCTGTATTACTATATTATTATTATCGTTTATTATTATATTGTCATATTATTTCTGTATTATTATATACTTATTATTATTTAGTATTAGTATTAATATTAATCTTTGACTTGTCCCATATCATGTATAATGATCCATGGATGAAATAAAATTGAATTTAATTGAATTGAATTGAAATATGTTTATTTTTTCTTCATCAACAACAGTGTATTTTGTTGTTAAACCTTGTGTCCATGGTTCTTATAATCAGTGAAAGGACCATTATCAGAGCTGAAAGACAGATTAAGAAGAAGCTAGTATTTATTGGTAGATGTGCAGTTTCCTATCTGCAATTTCAATTGAACGTGGGTTTAAAATCCCGGAGAATTGGCTATTTGAAAGAACTCCAGTACAATGGGACACTGCTGGAACTGTTTTAGAAATTAGTCATAAGACTGATTACAGGGTTCTCACATTTCTCCTGCTATTCATCCCACCTTTACTACTAACCAACCATTTCCATTATCATATAGGAAACTTTATTAACTTGGTATGGAAACTGAAATGGAAGTATATGCAATTGTATGCAAATGGTTACTGCATGTCTGTTGCTTGCAGAGGCAGTACATTCCTCCAAAACATCAGTGAACTTCTGCCAGACTACATGTCATCTTATCTCAGAAGACAGAACTCTACATAGTCACCACCGTTAGAACCTCAAATCCAACAAACATGCCATTGTATTTGAATATTTTAATTTTATATGCATCAATAATAATTGCTTACATTTTGGTCTATGACATTTTAATAAAGCTCTTATGTACTAATATTGAGCATAACTCATCCACACAGTGAATGACCAAAGATATATTCCAGAGAGTCTTACCCTTTTGGCCATGTAAGTATGGTTTATTGGCCATTGAAACAGGGGTAAAGGGATTACTCTAATAATTTTTGGATTTTCATTGTCGAAATTCCTCATATAATGAAATTGTAAGCATCTTTGAGCTTGTATAAATAACTGTAGTACACCAATTTGTTTAATAATTGGCTAATATAGAGGATTTGCACATGTAATCATATTACGCATTGAAGAAGAAACTAAGATCTGAAAAAAAAACTCATTCATTGAAACATATATAACTGGCTGCTGTATATAATGAGAAAAATAACTCACCACAGTTTCATTCTCTGCAAGCAGAAGCTCAACAAATTGCGTTTGAGACCAGAGCCCCAACTGGAGTTCACAGGTGTGAATATCATTTGGCCACTGATCCAAGTTGAGGTTACACCAAACTTCAAGGTGAGCAGATGGTGACCACATAACTGCTCCTTCTGAAGTTACTGTCATTCCTGCATGCCCCAGTATGTTGGCTCCATGACCAACGGCACTAGAAAAGCATGAAAGCTCCTCTGTATACAGAGTTACAAGTAACAAATTAACCAAAGTGAAAAATTTGTTATACCCATACTTGGATATGTTCCACACAACTTGTGTTTCATTCAGATAATCAGATCCATTAATTTTTTTTTTTGCGCTAGGTATCATAACAATGCAGTACAGATAACATGTTCAGTAATTCCATTATACACTGTAAACAGTGTATTATGAAGAAATTACCCCAGAAACAATAGTGGAATTTTAAAGATATAATTAGGTTAATGAAAAGCAGTATGGACAAGACAGATTTAAAGGAAAGGGGTTTGCTAGTAGATGTATTTGGCTTTCAATTATATTGCTAAGAGAGAAAGTTATCTTGAAAATTACAAAATTTGAAATTCCATAATTTTTGTTCTTTGCCAAATATAAGGGAATCAAATGAAGGAGGATAAGATGGATGGGGCATGTAGCATGCATGGAAGAGTTGAGAAATGTGTATAGAATGTCATTGGCAACTCTAAAGGGCAGAGCCCTAAGCATAAGAGGGAGGATAATAGTAAAATGGATGTGAGTATATGGACTTGATTCATTTGAGTCCAGTGGTGGGCTCATGTTAACACACAAATAAGCCATTCAGCTTCATAAATAGGTCATAAATTCTCTAATGCCTGGCCCTCAATTCAATTCAATTTATTTCAAATTCAAAAATAGATCCAGATACAGGCTGGGAAACAACCATTGGATATAGAATGAGTCACAGATAAAAAAAAACAAGCATTCCATTCCCACAGGAACAAGTCAAGGCATTCATAATATAAAACAAAATAAAAGAACATATCAGCCATATATACAACAAAACTCCGCCAGTATGAAACTCATGACCCATCTATTATTTCCGTAAAATCCAAATATGTTAGGATGTGGAAAAGTAATATTAGATAAATAAGTAGTACAAGGAACTAAGTCAAGACATAAAAATAGAACCAGAATACAATTAATCTTACTGACTAGTATATACAAAAAATTCATCCACAGTATAAAATGGGTGACAAGCCGAGGCATTCATAATATAAATCAAATTAAAAAAAAGAACAAATCAGCTATATATACAACAAAACTCCCCTGGTTTACAAAAACAACACAGAACCAAGACATCATATTATAGAACTCTCAAAGGTTTCACGCATCAGTACAAGCTCTCATTTTCTCAATGAGGACTCTGCTCCATGGAGTTAGTCCATATCGCTGAAGATATTTGTAGTAAAGCAGTACTGTCAGCTTATGACACTGACATTATTAATTAAGTGTCTTACAGTTTTTTCCCCAGCTACTCAGTAGTCCTAAGTGGATAGTTAACTAATCTGGACTTGAATTTTCTGAGTTCTTGTGGTCAGTGGATTGAAAAGACCCGATGATGTTTAACCCCTTTGTTAAAAATATTCTCTGCGTAAAGTTTTCTGAACTATGAACTACTCTTGATGAGGCATGGATCAGTTGATCCATCATTACTCTCGTTAGTTTGCAACCAGCAGTCATAAGAATCCTTTGTTTGTGTGTGTGTGTGTGTTCTATTCAGATTTGTAATGAACTTTCTACTAAGAGACTTAATACATATAACTTTATGCAGACATACTTATAAAGTACAATTTCTGGTATCCAAACTTCATGCTCAGTTATGTGCAGTGAAGTCAAACCTCCATAGTCTTCTGGTTTCCAGTGTATCTTCTCATCAATCCAGTGCTGAAATATTGATTGTATGAGTTAAGCAAAAATATAGTACACCATAGCAGCTAATACTGTGCTCAGATTTATAAGTACAGATTTAACTACAAAAACCCAAACTGAGGTTCATTGGAGTGGATATGTCTGAAGAATACTTTCAGCATACTTGGATATGATATAGATGAAAAGAGTAGTATCCCTGCAACTGGATTTAAATTATGTTATAATTTAGTATTTAATAGGAAAAAAATAGCTGATGTGTTACTGTTTTGTAACAGGGAAAGGTGTGTAACAGTATACATTTCTCGAAAGTATCATGTTTAGCAATATTGCTGTAAGAAGATCTTACCACTTGAGTAGAGAAAACAGAAAATAATGTACACAGTATATCTTTATGAAAATATTATATTTACTTTCTTAATAGAATTCTCATAATCATGTTCTTTCTTCTACTCCTGCTTTTCAGAAATAAATAATTTACTTTTCTCATGTGATGTTATCTTCTGTAATATATGTTGGCCATTTCAAAGTAGTCAGAAGAATGAAAACCTTCCTGTTCTTTCAGATTTTGTATACTGTCCCAGTTTCTTATATAAAACCCATATTTTGGAATTGGTTCCATTTCCATTGTTAAGTGGATAGGATATGAAGAAATTCCTACTCCATTGGGCCCCCATGCAGAGCTACTCAGATACCCTACCACATTTATCAAAAATTATTGGCCAGAAGAACAGTTAAAAAGAAAATCAAGAAAACAATAATGACTTTCTGAATAATTATTAGAAATGTATGGACTAAGAAAGTATTATGAATGTTAGGTATTGGATTCAAATGCCATAAACAGTGGTATATTTGTAAATTACATTTTACTAGGCACATTTGACAAGAAAAGTGAAAGAAAATTCTGAACTCATAAGCAAAATTGTATTCTGCAAACTCACATTAGACTGTGGGTTACTGTACTTTACTTTATGTATTAGCATAAATTTTAAGGAGTTACTTCTTAATTGTGTGATACTAATCACAATGACTGCTGACTCATTAGGGAAAGAAATGTCCATCTTACAGTTTCTTACCCCATATCTATTTCAGCAGTATTGTGAACCATAAGCTGAACCCATTCCATTCTTGTTTATAAATTTAAGAATATAATGGAGGTCTGAAGAATGTAACCATTTGTAAATATCCACTCACAACATGTTTGTAATCAGTATGTTAGTGTATCTATAAAATACACCTACTAAATATTTACTTACCATTGGTACTGTCCCATCAATAGAAAAAGCAGAACGTTTCATATCCTAGAAGACAGGAATAAAGTTACATATCTTCACAAATTGTTTCATCACATCTCTTGAAATTGGTGATGTAAACATTTTACATACAGCTTGAGAAACACCTTTCCATAAATGAGACAATTTAATGCTGGCTTCTCACTCGCTGGCCCAGATTCAATCCCAGGAAATTCTATTAGTCTTCCCACTACTGTCCTATTTTGATCAGCTGTGCCTATAGATGTATAATAGGTCTGATCAGCCAGTACATTACCACAGCCTTAGCCCTCAGGTGGCCTGATCTGGCCTTTGATTTAACTCAGAGACAGGAGATTTATTTATTTGTGATGTACTGTTTGTTATTCATTTTATTGACTCAGTTTAATTCACACCGTGTTTTAGAAAATACTGTTTATGATCTAGAAACTGGAATGTATTATAGCAAGAGATGTGATGGCAATGAAGAAGCATTTTAAGGAAATTATGACTGAATACCATATTCATCCATTTGGCTATTTATTCATTTTATTTCCATTCTGTCCATCTTTGTCATAGATCAAGTCCATATATATCATCTTCTAAGACAATAGATAGTAAGTAAAAAGACTGACTGATTTTTAACTTACCAGGTTCACATGATGAAAAGTCAAGTGCATGAAAACAGCCAAACGATGGTCCTCATGAAGGACAGGCAGTGCGTAGGGATTGTAATTAGACAGCAAGTATTTACGAAGTTTCTCGGTCATTGTAGTTGGCTTTGCCTCAACAATCTCTATTGTCTCTGAGAATATTAGTAAATAAGATTATATGAAATATATTCCTACAAAGAAATCTGGAATTGATCATATGTTTGAAGTACCAGGATCATCACATACCATAAAAGTTGTCTCAGTGCTTAATTAATTAAGCACTATGCCACAGAAACATATGGGGGAGTGGAGGTATAGGTCCACCATTCTTGACCTCAGTACTAGATGAAAGTGAATGGTCAGTTTCATGCCCTGGCTGCTTTGCCCCTAGGAAAAAACCCCGGTACCCCAATGGATAGCAGGTTGCATGGCAGAGCTGGTTTGGAGGAGAGGAGAGAACAATCATGTCCATGCCAGAAATTGAACCCTGGGCTTCCAACCCATAGCCCATTGCTATACCTACTTTGCTATGCAGAATCATGACATAAAAACTAAAATTATGTTTATAGTATTCAGATTGATGGAGATGATTTAATTATGTTAATGTAATAAACATAACTATCGAAGCTGTGGTTAAATATTGGTCACTGTTATGACATTAGTTTAATACATTAAGTACAAGCATTTATTTGAATGTTAATTTTGATAAAATCGCAAAAAAAGTCTGTCTTGCTAAGGAAAGTAAAAGAAAATAACAGTATGTTAAATTAAAATAAATTTTCTGCTCTACAAATAATTCAGCATAATGGATGGCTAAATCTTTAACTCCATGGAACTGGATTCTTCTTCAAGGTCAATTTTAACAGTATCCTCTTGCTTATGCATTGATTTCCCAAATAGAATTGTAATGCTCAATATGAATTTTTGCATGGGTTAATGTCATTTATAGTTTGCAAAATATCAGCATTTGAATGTTAAGTATGAATTTTGGCTCAAGAGTAATTTTATTTAAACTTTGAAAAACAAAAGCTTGTCTTGCAATCAGTGGAAACTATTGGCTTTAGTTCAGATCAACTTTCATCTCTGAAATATGTTATTTATGAGATAATGAAGATGAGACTCACAACACCATGTTTCAATTGTTTGCAAGGATCAGCAAATGAACTGAGCAAGGTAAAACAGCAAGAATGATGACCTTAATGTTACAGGATAATACATAATTAAACAATATGGCTTATCCCCTGTACAATATTTGTAAGTTTATTTAAGTGTGGAGAAGAATGAATGACTACCAAACCAAAGAGAAAGACCTCAATTTAAAACAGGAAACAAATATTTGAGGATATTAGTTTTGACAAGGTGGCATCTGGTGCTAAAAGGGTGTCAGGTAGTTACAGAAAGAAAATATAAATAAAGTGCTTAAGTGAAGTGGTCATTTAGAAAGAATGAGAGCTCCTAGATGAACATGGACTGGAACATATGGAAAGAAACTGCAGAAATATGGTGTTCATAAAGTGATGAAAGAAATTGATTTAAGGGAAGGTATTTGGAATGATAAGATTAGGTATGAAGTACAAGAACAGAGAACTTGTGAAAATGTGCCGACACCAATAAAGAAAAGAAGACTTCTACATACCAGTCTAAATGCCACTCTTCAAAATACAGGAAAAATCCTAGAAGATATTTTTGTTCTGCTTATACTCTTCAAGAACATATGAATTATCTGGTCTGTTGTGACAGAATATAAGGAAGAATAATGAATGCCGAACTCATGGGCAGTCACTCAATGGGATATTCCCAGTTATCCCAAAATAACTGGAGAATAGTAGATCTGATGGGTTTCTGATCTGCCATTAAGTACAGTGCTATGTTTGGAAGGTCAGTGTATTCAGTTTAAATTGTTAAATGCAAGTTTGGTCCCATATGTCCTTACCTTACATCACAATCCAGAAAAACATCAAGAAAATTGCCATCTGATGGGGTACTGCAAGACTACAATGGTTACAGACTGTGACTTTTGAAAAATATATTAAAGTTATCTCACAATCAGTAATTTTTTCCCTCCCCCCCCTCCTTGGCACTACAGCCCCAGTGGGCGTAGGCCTACCTCCATGAACGCTGTTCACTTCGGTTTTTCCAATTCTTACACATTCGGTAGGACTCCTTGGGCGGGTGAGCAGCTCGTCGTAAGGCCTCTACCTATATACAAACACAGAAAAACGCACACTAACACAAACTAAACATCCATGCTCTGAGTGAGATTCGAACCCACAATCCTGGTTTCCAAGCGAGCGAAGACAGTACATGCCTTAGACCGCTCGGCTACCATGACCGGCTACAATCAGTAATTAACAGTGTCAAATAATGTTTTTGCATGCAGGAGTGATACACAGCCCACTATGAACATAAACAATAGCAAAGTAAATTACAAATCATTACAAATCATATCATGAAGTGTCTATGAGGCCTGGAGATCGTTCATCTTAATATAAACTTTAGACTGAGAGGAGTAATCAACTTCTTACTTAAGTTTATAGTACCTGCTGTGCAGGAGGCTGGTTGAAGTTCCTCAGTGTGATGAAGAGTAAAATCTTAGTTTCTGTCTAAGAAAACATCAGTCATTCAATGAATCTATAATTTTACTAACTTATTATTAAAGGTGAGAATTTAATTTTTACATTAGAATATAGGAGTCAGGATAGCAGAGTTGGTATAGCGACATGCTACAGGCTGGAGAGCCCAGGTTTGATTTCTGGCAATGCAAGATTTTTCTCTTGTGGACTCTGGGTCCCAGCCAACCTCCTTTCCATTGGGTACCAGGGGCAATGCGGCAGGAGCATGAAGCTGACCACTCACCTCCATATAGTGTTCAGGTCAAAAATGGTGGAGCTATACCTCCACTCTCCCATTTGTCTTCATGGTATAGTGATTAACTATTTAACCACTGGAACAAATTTACCTTTAGAGTATAACTAACATCAAGTGCTTTTACAAATTATGATGCCACATATATTTTGTAATTAAACAGATATACTCATATATTGTCGTGTGTTAATGACTAGACATGCGGTTTGGATTGGTGATTGCATTTATAGAAGGCTTATAACTCATAACTACAAGCCATCATAACGTTCCCACTGATCTGCACACTTAACAGATCACTACTGCACACATTAGGCCTCATCTGTTATGTCTTCACTAGCCGTTGCCCAGTTGCGGCTTCTAACCATGGGGATTCTTCAGCTTCCGTGCTCGTGTCCTTGTTGGGTCGCGGCTGGATTGCAACTAACTCTCAGCTGTAACTCACGACCTTCTAGCCATACCTGTTGACTCACTCATTCAATCAGGCACTTAAATTGGTGCCGGCTCTTGCCAGCACTGTCATTCTTGGCTTCAAGTCTCATTGAGATCTATTACCAAGATTTTTGTTCTCTGTTTTAATGCCTCGGTGTTTTATGCCATTGGCAATGCCTTACCTAGCCCTCTACAGACATAGGCATCGTGTAGTGCAGGAAAAAGTACAGTGGGTCAACTGTTCAATGACAGCAGCAAATTCCTGCAGTTGATTGCGGCATGCTGTGACCAGGTGTTGGTCTTCAGCTCAGTCCTCGAATGCCCCAGTAGTCTTGTATGTCACTCCTTTGGGGTCTCCATGTAGAACATCAGAACCCGGCACTACATGGTGGTAAGAAAGTGCATGGTTTTTGTGCATGGGGCTCAGTTATAGTGTTCTGCTATGGCCTCTGTCTTTTCTTGCTTGGTCTCCAATTCTTCCTGGTCAGTCTTCATCCTTTCTCTGTTGGCCACTGTCTCCTCCATTTCTTCCATGCTAGTCTTAATTTCAGCTCTCATTTGTTTCTGGCAGGCCTTTATCATGGTCTCCATTTTTTTTCTAGTCAGGCTTTCACCACTTCTCGGAAGGCCTCCATCTTCTCTCGTTTGGCATCTGTCATGGTCTCTGGCCTTCCTGCGATGGTTACCAGATGTTTGAATACTGCCATGATTATCCGTCACTTGAATGAATGTATGTATATATAAGGGGTGGGCCTTCTTGGCCCTTGCACCACGACCTACAGTGGTCTATCGTGCTTCCCCTTTTGATTATCCCCTCAGCAATCCTGCACTTTGAATGAATTTTGTACGTGGGGGCGTCGAAATAGTCACTTGGTTCCATAAAGTATTGACCCAAGCGACATAATCTTAAATAAGCTAAGGCCTCACATTCACACTGGATATGTGTGGCTGTTTCCATCACTCGAATTCCAATCCAATTAATACAGTCCCCCTTCTGGCACCATTTGCCACGAGTTAGTGACTAGACTGGATTGGTAATAGGATTTATTGAAGGCTTATAACTCGTAACTGCAAATTATTACAACCCAGCCATTAATCTACACTTAACAGGTCACTCCTGCAGATGCTAGGCCTCACTCTGTTATGTCTTCTCTAGTTGTTCAATTATGGCTGCTAACCACATGGATTCTTCCATTTCCATGCTCATATCCTCATTGTATGGCGGCTGGGTTGCAGTTCACTCTCAACTGCAACTTATGATCTCATAGCCATGACTATTGACTCACTTGCTGTTTGGTAATTGCTTCTGGCCCTCGCCAGCACAGTCATTCTCGTTTCTGAGTCCCACGGCACTCATAACAATATTTTACTGTCACAAATCCAGGAGTAGTCTGCCCACTCACTAACTTGTCTAGTTGTTCAAGTTCTCGTTATATAACCTTGGCATGGACCATTGAGAAAACACCGTTTTCAACAACTTCAATATTGTTGTGTTTATTCATTGCAGTGGAAACATGTTTAGGTTGCCGCTGCCTAGCAATGGTCACACTTCTGGATTTCATGTCACAATATGTTTTAGTAAAAGAAAGAATGTTGTCATTAACTTATACAGTTTCAGTAATACTAGACAAGCCTGTTTGTATGCTGTAATTGCACAAATACTTAGCTCTTTCATAAAGAATTTTTGTACATTATTACTACCTGAATCATTTGCTATTGGACAGTCATATAGCCACTTGCCAACAACACCTGTCCATGTGGAGAAGCTGAAGTAGCGAATGTCTAATGGAGATGGATCGGCCCAAAATAGAAATGGAAAGTCATCTCCCTCTTTTCCCACCTGTAAGATACCTTTCCCATCAAAATGAACCCAAAAACCTCTCAGTTCTACAGGTGACAAAAGATCCTTTGTATATGCTGTTGCTTTAGTAGATCCAAGGCGTAAGCGTCTAATGTCAGAGAATACATTCTTCCCTCCTCCCAGGACCACTTCATAAACTGCTTCCCCATCCATAGGTGTAGGGGTGGATGACAGAAGAAGATGGGCATCACTTCGAGCTCGGACTAAAAAGCGAATTGTGATGTTGCCACCATCATGACTACCAGATGGTGATATATGAAAGAACTTATTGTATCCATACCCATACGTGAACATCATCTTGCAGTCATGTGGATTAACTGAAAATGAAGTTCAAATTCTATTAGTACATTATATATTTACTACTATAGCTAATATATGACATGTGAGGATTTTACAATATTAGCAATATTCAGTAACTTTTGTATTAAGAAGGGGCCAGTGTTTGAACTGTTATTGTCGAGTATTTAGATAGAGGTTCTCTAAATTCATGTAAGCAATAGTTGCCCCGTCCCTAAGTATCACATTCTGAAGGTACAATGGATATTATACATTTTATATTTTGGTGCTAGATGGAGATGAATGGTAAGCTTTGTACCTTGAATAATTTTAACCTACAAGTGCAGTCCTTGCTACTCGTTGGATAGGAAAGTGGGTGGATCTCAGATTTTTCTGAAGTAATAAAGAAGTGGAAAGATTCCAGTGCATCTGTTACTCATCAAACCTTGGTTATCCAGATGGACTAGCAGCATTATTTTCGATTTTTTTTTTTAATTTAAGTAATAAGAGTGTTATTCCAGAAGTAACAGTTTGTTTTCAATCAGCCCTTCTTAAGGATGGTTTCCTTTTTTTGATGTAGAATTTATGAGGCTCAAGGTATTGGTATTTTTTTAAAATGTAGGATAATCATCATCATCATCACCACCATCACCATCTACTTCAAGGTAGGTTTTTATTATCCTGTTCCATCTCAAAAGCTATCCTCCAATCATCTTCTGTCATCCATGATTTCTTTGTCCATCTGGTGGTAATTCTTAAATTTTTGGGTAAGTCTTGAAGAGTCCATTCATAATATGTGATTATGCTGTTTGTTTTCATAGTCTTGAATTCTTTCTTCTGAAGCATAAATTTATAATGCAGCACATAAGATAATGGTGTATAAAATTTGTGTTTATGATCTCCCACCCGCTACTCACATTGTTTTCATTTTAGAACCAACCTAAAATTCATAACTTTGGGAACACTGTTATCACATATGTAACATATGCATAACTTAATACTTCATGTTAATTGTCATATATCACCTACTTTTTGAAGGTAATAATTTTCTGACATACTTCACATAAAAGCTTACTATATCTAGTGATGAATGAATTGCCATATTCAGCACATTAAAATAGGGTTCACCACATTATAAAAATTTCAGTAAAGTTGGATATGAAGCTATGGTAGATGATGATTGTCACTGTGCTTAATTAATAGACAAGAAACAAAAACTCCTTACTGGGAGAAGTTAGATGCCATACGGGCCAGACCTAGAAAATCACTGAAACGTCTAGCTGAAGAGACTGGAGTGTTAAAGTCTAGTGCGAGAACGGCAACACAAATGCAGAAGCAATCCAGTGAAAGACTGTGTTTGGTGTGCTGTAAGTACTCGTACAAGGGTTGTTTTACATGCGTTTATAATGAAATAATTAATTTCGAAAAATATCTACGTATAAAGAAGACAGAATTTTCAACCTCTCATTTGATCTATGAATTGTTAACTACTTGATTCCGAACGTTATCAGCCGTCAGGCATGCTGATTCATCGGCAAAATTCGTACGCGCCTCCCAGCAAGCGGCGCACCAGTCGCCGTGAAGCGCAGAACCATGGATTCGGTCCACACACTAAAAATCCTCCATGTACTTGGTTATAAGCGAATTTCATAGGAAATATGTAAGCAGTCCGTAAGAGATACCGAAAATATGTGCAGATTTTAGGGTCCTTAACGATGAAATCCTCTAAAGCTGAACAGAACCTACAGGCCTGCTACTGGCAGACTTGTTTGTAACGTATTATCAAACAAACTACTTGTGCAAAGTTACAAGAATCATCAGTTTGAACATCCTAGCACGATATTATTGTGGTTACCATGGTCTTCTTTCATGCGTATGTAGGCATAAATAGTATTATGATCGTGAAAAAATCGATCGTGAGATTTTGACACACTTTCACGTTTTCAGAGGCCTTGAATGTGTAAAAGTGATTGTTGGAATACCGTCAATTTGTCCGTATGTATATGTGTACGTCTAGACAGCATTTGGACGGTTGGGCGAATTTTATTAAGTATTTTAGCATTTATCCATTATAAGTCGGTGCCCGGAGCAATTTTATATCGGTGCTCCTGTATATAAAATTGTGATATTCTCGAAAATGTCCGCAACGATTTTGATAAGTATCAATGATTTGTAGAGAACATCACCCTAAATAAAACTGCATAGGTGGTATCTTGAGGAAAACATACGTAGATATGCCCTCTAGCAGCCCAAATGCGAAATCGTATTTTTTTTATGCTTGTCCGAATTTGATTAAATTTCAGTGGCCTATATACATTGCAATTAACCCCAGTATTTAGAGGCCAAAACATCTTAAACATAATGGGATTCTAATACAAAGCCTGAGGCCGGGTCTCGATCACAAAATATGTATGTTCTCAAAAATGGTTCTAACGGTTTTAATTAAATTTCTCCAGTCTGAAGTATTAATACGAGTAGTCCCAGATAAAACTAAGTTGGTAATCTCCCCCAAATAAAAAATTTGCTCTCTATTAGCTGAAACATAAAATATCACTTCTATAAGATTTTGATCCCGTCAAGTGGGTACTCGGAGGCATGTGCAATATTTTTGCACAGATATTATTCTACAGTAATCCTCTAGTCCGGCAGTTCGCTGGTTATAGGGTAAGAAGGTGCGTTTAGTTTTGTTCATACCGAGTTTGGCAAAAATATGATAGTTAATATCTTTGTAATTTATGTGTGAAATAAATTATGGTGCAGACTGGCGGTATACAGATATATTCAGCTTGATAAAAGGATTAAGAATCGTGAAATCTCTCCATCGGAACCCCAGAGATTATTTTTATTTCGTACTGATGTTGCTGTTGAGTGTTTTCGGCCTGTTAGCTTTTGCCACGAACATTTTTATCCTTTATAAATTGATTTTTCTCGAACTATTTATCAACAACTCTTGAATAAATTTGCCGTTATGGCATTTGTGCTAATTTTGACTGGTTGCTTACAATCAGCACTGCGGACCTACCTTCTTTCTTTACATCCTGACTAAGAGACTCCAAGCTAAACAGTAATACTGCTGAAATTATAATTTTGATGTCCATCACAGTAACACCCACAGATCCAATGGCAATTATGAACTGAATTCGTCCCTTAGAATAAACCACGTCGTCATACGAAAGGAAGCTTAGTCGATAAATATTTATCTCCTGTCTTCCGTTCAGCCTATTTCATATCTACATTCCACACTCAGGATTGGATTTGTGAATGATATCAGTGTTTTACTTTTATTTGTTTCATCTGCATTGTGATAGAGGTTCTCGATCGGCCGCCCTGTAATCCAGACTGTATTCTATAACAGTGTTACCCAAACTTTTCTGACCGTCAAGTCTTTCTACGAGTAATGCATGAGAAATAATTCCATATTGTAACATCTTCTTTGAGCATGTCACAGTTATCCATATGCTTAAGAAATTCCCTATTTTATCCATTAAAATATGAAATGCCGCATTACAAAACTCTGCAGCTTTTCTTACGCCATTTCAGTTGTGTTCATATATGAGTAATCTGCTCCTGCTAGATTCGTTTCATTGTTATTCTTAATCGTGCATGTCGGAATCTTAATCGGTCTCATTCATCGATGTTTTACATCCAGCATTTTGAACACATTCTTATTGTCTCGTAAATGCTATATACCCCACCCATCTCAAGATTGAAGAGTACTCTATTCTGGGGTGCGACTCCATGTTGTCTAGTAGAAGTTTAAGGACCTTCATCCGAAACGTCGGTAAACTTATGCCAGACTTCCCGGAATCACAGCCAGGAAGGTGGTATCCTTCACAGTTATCGCCGTGAGAAACTCAAATCTCACATCTCACCATTAGTTGTGGAAGCACCTCAGTGCTTACTGTGAAGACTCAGATGCGGAACTCCTGTAAATGTATCTATTCCCCTCTTAGTTCATTTCTTTTAGGTCAAAATATTCTCATCGGTATTTGTTTGCAGACCCCCTCAATCTCCATTGTTCTCTCAAGTAAGAGATGACATTTAGGATTCGCCTAAATTATGGTTTCACGTATTCTAATTTGTCTTTCTGTGGAAGGTAAGTGAGCAAACGAATCCATACGGAATAATAGCATGCATTCCCAAGTATATTCTCTTTACAAGCAACATATACATTTCTCACATAAAATCAAAGAAGTTCAAGCTGAAATGTACGATTTCTTTGTGAATCGTGACTTAAATTATTAATATTGTGTGCTTCTGTTTCTCATATCGCAAATTAGTCTAATGTTTATTTTTTCTCCATCTCTCTTTCTCTATGGCTGTACAACCCTTTAGACCGTGGCCGCTTTTTCAGTTTCCTAATTTATACAGTCTGTAGGACTCCATGGAAGGGGGATCAGCCCGTCGCAAGGCTGCTACCTACACGAAGAACAACACAAACACAAGTAAACGCACACAGACTTTAATGCCTCGAGTTGGATTCGAACCAATGATCCCAGTGTTCGAGAGGGCGAAGACGGTTCATGCCTTAGACCAGTGTTTCCGAACGTTTTTTATCCCGCGGAACCACTGTACCGAATGTTAATTGACCACGGCCCCCATAAAACCCAAAATGGAAATTTTTTATATTTTACATATCATGAAAGTGGAGCAGTAAGTTACAATTCTACAACACTAAATGTGTCATTTATGACAATAAAATACTGTTATAAATGGAGCTTATTCGGAAGATCACGAACATATCAATTAGGCCTAATATTATGAATTTAACACTCACCTAATCAACGATCCACACTTTAACCACCGATCCATATCTAAATAAGATCGTGAACAAACTGAAAATCTTAAGTTTCGTTGGGAACTCAATTATTTGAACAAGAGCAGAAAAACTAAATACTAAACCGAGAAAAACATACTTGTATACTATTATAAAAATCCACTGCACAAAAACTAAAGACACACAGGTTGTTCGCTCTGCCACTGAAATGAATAAGAAACGTGCTCCCAGCTTCATTCCCAACCAAAGGGGGATGGATTTGCGGGGGGTGGAGGGGGAGAATGGTCAGACAGCAGGTAAGGAGGACAACAGTCCATCCTGAAACACGGGTCTGAGATGCAACAGGCCGACCAAAATAAAATGTTCTTGGAAAAAGCTACACAAATCGTTGGTTATTCACCTCTGCTTTACAAAGGGAAGGTACCGTTACGGTACCAACAGTCCCGTTAAATTTTACTTCAACCATGGGGCTCAAGAGCCAGAGATATACATTGCAAATATCCCAGGTGTGAGGAACATGATAAGATAAAGTTTAATGAAAATAAACTACCCCCTTTTGAATTACTCGCGGACCACAGGTTGGAAACCACTGCCTTAGACAGCGCGGCGCCTAATGTTTCTAGCAATGCGAAAATAATAGATTCAGCATCCAGTATTAAGGAATTTTGCTCCTGTAATAGCGTATCATTAAAGTCGATCCCGTAAGTGCATACGAGTATTTGGCAAGAAAGATTTACCTTGCACATGCAAGTATTCAGCCTGTAATTATGAGTAACTAAGCATCACTCCACGTACAAACATGAGAGAGTGGAGATATGTGTAGCTCCACTATACGTGACCTCGGCACTAGACGGGGGTTAGCGGCTAACTTCATGCCCCGACCGCTTTACCCCCGGGACCCACTGGATGGGAGGCTGGGTGTCCCCCAGAGCCGGTCTGGAAGCTGTGGAGGAGAGGAAGTCTTTTGTCCCTGCCGGGAATCGAACTTCGGCCGTCCAGCCCATCACTATACAGACTGAGCTACAGAGTTTCCTTAATATACCAAATATTAATACCAAAATCAGAATTATTTTAAAAATATTGGTCTATCATGAATACTCCAAGACGATCAGTAAAAATAGTCTTATATGTGTTAAACGTGGGTCTGTAAGCAAACTTGCCGACTCCGAGGAAACACAACCTTGTGGTGCCTATGTCTGTATATATGGAACTCCGAAAATTGTATATCAGTATCAGACAGCAGAACATTGCACCATGCTTTCCTGTCTATCGGTCTGAAAATATCTGAAACTGCACTAAGGACTGTCGAAGCGAGGAAAGTCTTCGTTCTATAAAACATGCAGAAGTCGGATTTCTACTTTCAAATGCCTTTAGTAGATAATAAATAAAACCTGCAAGTAAAGCTGTCCATTAACGTTGCCGGCAGCAATTTTATCTGCAAAAGAGAGAAGGTCACTTCAAAAATTCACTTCTCTCTTATTCTGTGCCATGCCTATTCACTGACAAGTGGAATTTCTGCGCTTCAGATTCAGCAACTATGGCAATTTCCAAAAAGTTGGGAATTTTCATCGTCAATATTGATTTATGCGAACCTGTTTTCTGAATTTGACTCATAGAAAGCGGTTATCGACATTAATTCTGTGTTTCAGTTGCATTTTCCCGAGCAAATTGATTAAAACAGTAATGATTCTGACTTGTATTCGGTGGGTGCCCATTTCAACCTGGAACACCAACTACAGTGACTAAAGTGTTCATGGTTCTCCTCAGTCCCTCCAGGCAAATGCCACAACAGTACCTCAAATTAGCTCATGACGCTCATGACTGCCACCTTCCACATTCTTTCCAGTTCATCATTCACTGATCATCCTACCAATTGACACTATACAATCTGAGTCAATGACAGCATCATTAAATAAACCACAACAATAAATTGAGTTTTGTATGGTTGGACTCTTGAGCATCTGTGTAAGTTGTACTTTTTTCTAAACTGTGCGGTTTTTCACGAGTATACATGTATTAGTGGAAATTTGTTAAAGACAAATATAAAAACACTTTCTTCCTTTCTGAGCAACCCCAAATAAAATTTCACACAATTCTAAGCTTTTTTTTTTCAATGGCCCTGTATTAAGACATAGGGCTGCATTTACATATGTCCGCCTTCCAGTTTCTGTGCCTATGTATTAACATCATCTGTCCAGTGCAACCATTTTAGTTTCAACGTTTTAAACAAGGTGTCGTTTCCAAGGCATGGAACTTTCTTGTGGCTCAGTGAAGTTAAGAACCCTCACCAGTGATCCTTGTGGCATAAACCTGAATCTCAACTGGGACTCTGAAGGCCCTGACTGAGGTAACTCACTGTTTTCCTCAGTCCTTTCAAGCAATTGCCCAAGTAGTACCTTAAATTATGCCAATGCTGCTTCGTTCCACATCCTGAAAGTATAGTTTCCCTGGGCTTAACTAACTAAGCACCATGCCATGACCTTGTATCGGAGAGTGGAGGTATAGCTTCATGGATCTTCAACTTCGGCACTAAGTGGAGTCCTCCTTTCCATTGTATTATTCATTAGCATCCAGTCATTCAATGTTTAATGCTGTTACTGACAGCATCACTACATAAACTACATATTGTCAATTTTTTCTCTGTTGTTAGCATGTGGTCTGAACAGTGTGTTAAAGATGAACACAAAGAATGTATGTCAGACTTATAGTTCAGTTATGAACAATTTAGAACAGAATATTCCATACATAACTTATATATTTTCAAATTGAAAACAAGTGAAAAAGAGCCATACTGCTTCTGAATTTTAGATACAGTGTAAATATTTAAATTCAATGTTGCTTACAGTTCTATGATTATTATAACTGTTCATGTTTCATTACGATCATAATAAAATCCAACATGATTTTAGAAATGAGAATGAAGTGGTAAAAGTACACCCCTGCTTTAACCCTTCACATTTTAGAGGCAGATTACATCATTTCTTATCAAGCCAAAGAAGAAGACAGATAATAGCTCAACATGAGATAAGATGCTCTCTGCCTTCTTTAGTTTTTTCCTTCCCAAAATCCAGTTAAGATTGTCATGAGAAAACTATACAGCGTCTGGATTCCCACATATACGTATGCTTAGTGGTACACTGAAGAGAATGCCAAGGAGTGTAGGCTTTACTAAATTAAAATCTAAAATGACTTGCTGTAGTTTTGCATATCAACGTCATTAAAAAAATTAAGCCAGTATTTTTAAAAATGACGTATCCCTTCAGACTGCTTGGTCACCAGGCCTGTCACAGCAAAAACTGGTGCTCATAGCTCCCTACACGTTTTTTTTTTTTTTTTACCTCAGAGAGACTGTTCAACTCTCATGTTCTGCCCTGGAACACTTCATAGAATTCATAAGCCATAAGGTTTGTATCAGCACTAAGGGACAAACCCCCACACTGGATTTAGTGCTGAGCAGGATTGTAGGCAGTGACAAAAAATACACACAAACATCAAGGCCTTGGACAGGAGACAAATACACAACCATGGAATTTGCTTGGTTGAAGACCATTTGCACCTTAAAACATGCATCCACTGGAACTGGAATTATTAGACTTCCTGAAGTTTATAAACATAATGTCAGTATTTAGCAATGTAATTTTGAGGGCTAAATAAATACTGTCATGTGTTTGTGACTAGACACAGGGTTTGGATTGATAACTGAATTTCCTGGTTGCTTATAATTGCTCGTAGTAACTACAAATCATTATAAGAGTTTCACTAATTTTCACACTCTATAGATTACTACAACTACAGCACACACAAGTCTTCATTCTGTCATTATTTGTCATTGCTAGATAGCAGCCGCTAACAATGCAACTCAAAACTGAATTACTGACTTCTAAATTATTGTCGGTCCTTGGCAGCACGGTCATTCTCGGTTCAAAATCCCATACGATTCATGGCCATTACTTATTGTCTGACAGCTGTCGGTCGGATAAACTGCTGCTGACCTTTGCCAGAGCAGTCATTCCTGGATTCTGTCTCCTCAATATCCAAGATCAAGACCTTTATTCTCTGCTAGACATGTATGTGTTTAGAAATGGGGCCTCCTCTTCCACATAGGTGCTACATTTGTTGCGCAGTACTTTCAGCACTATCTGCATTGCCACAGCATCCAGGTCACTTTGGACTCTGTGCATCATTTGTCACTGCACTATACTAAGTAACATTTTTGTAGGGTATACAGAGATTTCCTATCAATGAAAGCCTGTGCAGTAGGTTATGCCTTAACTTGTGCAATTCTTTGAAACTATACTTAAGTCAGCTGATTGGTTGTAGGTCTGACAGCCGCAAAGTTTAAGCCTCTTATACTTCCTATGCATGGCTTCTCCTTGTCCAATACCATGTACATTTGGAGTTACATGATTTAGGATTACTTCTGCCTGTGTCCTGAATAATTTAGTTATGTAGTCATACACATAAGGAACTTTGAAAGCTACGTGCAGTTTGTGGACTGATGTGAACCTGCAGCCACTGCAATTTCAAAAGGTGAGCGTCTGCTGCATACTCCCAGGTGGGATATGCCTTTCTGCTTCAGCTATGACTGCTAATTGTTTCCAATTGGCACAATTTCCATTCACTGTGGACTAATTTTGAACAATCTGCTCCACTTTAACTACAGAGGCTTGCACTACATCCCTTTCCTTCTTCACATCCAGATGATCTGCTATTAATTTTTCTTATCTCTCATCAAACAAGACGAGCACAGCCCACCAAGTCCTCACATTGCGTTAGCATAGAAGAGCCATCTCTCTCAAACTCAACAAGCTTTAGACTACCACCTATCTGACACCTTCTGTGCGATGAGTTGTATTTTGGTGTGGTGTTAAAAGATTCACACTAACTACAACTGCTACAAAACTCTTACTTATTTGCTAATCTACACACCACTGTCTCTCTGCTGCTGGTCCTTGTCATATAGTCCTGGCATGGACAACACAGAAAACACCGCATCCTCTATTGTTGCATGTTTATTCATTGCTGTGGAAACGTGTATATCACACAGCTGGGTGACCTGAATGATACTATAACTTCTAAACGGCTAGCTAACTAACTAGTTCTATGGAACACTGTCTTCTTTGAGCAGTTCATGTTTTTCAGGTGGTCACAAAATTACCAGCTTATGACAAACCTGAATATTCATGACCATATAGATCTAAAGGGTTCTGATGAAGGGGTATAACACACGATTACTAGATTCTTGGGCTTTGTCCATCATCTGGTATAAGAAATTAATACAACATTTTGGAAACTTGATCTGTTTCCAACCTCAGGTGATGGATATATATATATATATAAATATAAATTACCTTAGTGAAAACTGTAAAAAAGTGCAATTACAAGCTTTATTAGATACTTATAATTTAACACCAATAACTGAGTTTCCAACTAGAATAAGTACTACTTCTGTCTCATTGACAGATCATTTTTTTATAAACAAGAATGCTTATAACAAATTCCAAGTTTGTTCTGCTATAAATGGTCTCTCAGACCACGATGGGCAAATTTTGATACTTGGAGACATGCTGGTGACGAGGCAAAGTGATCATGTAAGAACATATAGGGACATTAATGAGGAAAACATAGTATGTTTTCAACAGACTTTACAAAATAAAAATTGGATAGAAGTTTATAACCAAGAGAATGTTAATATGAAATTTAATATCTTTCACAATATCCTTTTATCAATCTTAGAAAATAGCTTTCCCATAGTATATAAAAAACAGAAAGACTCTAATAAATGGATAACGAAAGGCATAAGAGAGCATTATACACCTTAGTCAAAAAATCAAGTGATGATAGTTTGAAGTTATACTATAAAAGATATTGTAAGATACATAGTATCAGGCACTGATCTTGATGAAATCCAAGTAAGGTCTAACATTGTGTTAAATTCTTTAAGCCATTGGTTTGCATGTAATGGCCTATCTCTAAATCTGAAAAAAACTAAAGTGTTAAAATTTGATACAATTAATCGAGATAATATGTCTATACATTTAAAGTTTATGATGAGATATTGCATGAGGAAAAGCACGTTAAATTCTTGGGCATTGAAATTGATAAGACCCTGAATTGGAAGTCACAGATTGAATCGATGCTGTCTAGATTGGGCAAGGCATGCTTTGCAATAAGAAACATGAAATTGTATAGCAATATTGAAACACTAAGGATGATTTACCACGCATACTTTCATTCAATTATGAGATATCGAACAGTATTTTGGGGAAAATCGTTGGAGGCTAAGAAGATTTGTCTTTTACAAAAGAAGGCCGTCAGGATAATGATGGGAATGAAACCCAGAGAATCATGTAGAACAGTTTTTAAAAAATTAAAAACTCTGACATTGGCCTCTCTATATATTTTACCTTTAATGATACTAATGATAAACAATTTGGGGTATTATAAAGTATTTAGATATAAATTGCACAGTAATATAATGAAACATACCTAAATAAACATATTTCTGACTATAAATCCTTACAATAAAGCAAAAATTCATCAACTGAATAAAACGAATTATTGATTAATATTTCTTTTAGTTTTCCTAGGAAAAGTTCCTGTCTTGTACTAAATCTCTTACATAGAGAGAAAAAATAAATATTGAAAATACTGTGTTAACACACATAAAACTCCTTTTTGCCTTACTGCTAAATGTGACTGCAATACGTGTAGATTCCCTCTATGTCTTGTGGTCTTATCATGGATTGCATCATTAAAAGTAAAATACTCAAGATTACTTATCATAAAAATCATCAAAAATAATATATATTGGGAGGCCATTGTTAATATGTTTAGTTTATTGAGTACCAGCCTGCATGTATCTCTTTGTTTCAATCCCACCATCACCCTAACAGTTATCTTCTGTAAGAGAAAAATCTCCTTAGCATCTGGTGAGTTACCCCAGAAAACTGTCCCATACCTCATGACTGAATGAAAATATGCATGATATATCATCCTAAGTGTTTCAATATTGCTGCACAACTTCAGATTTCTTAATGCGAAGCATGCCTTGCCCAATCTGGGTAACATCAATTTAACGTGTGTTTTCCAGTTTAAAAACTTATCTATTTCAAGGCCCCCCAAAAATTTAATAATCATTGCATCATATACCTCATTTTTATACTGCAATCGCATTGGCATATTTCCATGATGACTAATTGCTTCAAATTTTAACACTTCAGTTTTCTTCATATTTAAAGATAGGCCATTACTTGTAAACCAAAGGTTTAAGGAATTTAACCCATCTGAACTTTGTTTGGATATCCTGGATATTATCACCATTTTTTTTATTGCTAGTGGGGTGGGAATAAGTTCCTTGTACTGCGGCCACTTCTGGCCAATTGTACCAGCCACAGATGATAGGTGAGGGTGATTGTGGAACAATTGGCGGAATGAAGTTGGCAGGGGAATCTGAAGTACTCTGGGAAAACCTGCCCCAGTGCCATTTTGTCCACCACAAATCCCACTTGACCAGACCCCGGGATCGAAGCCAGGCCGCCGCGGTGAGAAGCCAGCAACTAACTCCTTGAGCTAAGGTACGACCTTTTCACCCGATAGTAGTACACTTGTATCTAAGGTCATCAGTCATTGTGTCGTTAAATATAAAGGTTTGGTATGAGTAACTTTTTTTAAGTGAATTTTGTGCAGTTTTTAATTTTCCTTTATACGCTTTCCATATTACACATCTTGTGGAAGGAAAGGTGCTCCCTGTTCGAAGTGGCATGTGGATGGAACTGATGTTAAATGAGGTCTGTGACTAATGGGCTGATTTGGCCGCACCATAGCTCAAACGGTTAGTTGCTGGCTTCCCACTGCGGTGGCCCATGTTTGATCCCGTCTGGTCAAGTGGGATTTGTGGTGGACAAAGTGGCGCTGGGGCGGGTTTTCTCCGAGTACTTCGGTTTTCCCTGCCAATCTTCATTCCACCAANCATTATCATAATCACCCAGGGCAGGCTACAGTAGTCCAACCAGTGGCCGCCGTGCTGAGTGGACCCAGTTGAACTCCACCCCACACTAAGTGAATTAAAGAAAAAACAGGTTGATTTACTTTGAAATGTAAATTTACAAAAATAATGATGGAATAAACTGTAGCACTTTTTGCAAAACCAGTTTCATGAACATTGGATTCTGTGTTTATTTTTTCAGCTTGTAACAAGAAAGCATGGTGATGTCCAGATAGAAGGATTTAACCCCTCTGCTGAGGAAGCTTCAGAGGGAACAAGTGAAGCTGTAGAATGTGGAGTTGATGTTGTATTGAACCAGAGGCTTAGTGAAACATATGCCTTTGGAGATAAGAAGAGTTTCACAGCATATCTGAAGGAATACATGAAAAAGTTAGTGGTGACAACCCTTTCACAATTAGTCTATTTTCCAGGTACCTGGCCTGAAACACTTACGGCAAATATGGCTCATTTTACAGGTCTCACTTCAGAAATTCACCAAAAATAGTACTTTTGTCAAAGACTTGAAGAAATCACTTTTATTCACTATAAATAGCAGATTTAAAAATAGCCTAAAAGTGCAAATACTATAAATAATTTGAAAAAAAAAATAAATTGGAGGAATATAATGTAGAATAGGAATATAAGTATAGAGATTAAAATTTATGTAATTTAGGCAAAAAAATGAAATTATCCCACCCCCTATCAAGCCTTTAAGGATGGTAATATTTTTCTGTAAATTTTAATACAAGTTTCATGCATGAAGAGCTCTCTGGTCCAGAACTACATCACATTACATAGAACAGTGTATACATACCTTTTGCAGTTAGTACCTGTGTTTAGGAAAGCATTCTTCATGCAGCCCCTTGTTGCCATTTGGTGCATACTGTGCTGGCTGTCTGCCTCCTCTCCTTGTGCTGCAGACAGTGCATTGGGACTATTTCTTTTCATGTAGTTTTCTGAGTCCTCATGGTCCCTGAGGATCATCAACTCCAGCATTGTCCTTCATTGCCAACCACTCCTCCCCCACACTCCCGATTGTGGATCGTGGACACAATGTGGTTTTACCTGGTTTTCAGTTTGCCAAGCCCCTTGTAGAGAATGTAGTTATTCAACACCATCCTGGCTATGATGTTGAAAGCTTCATTATTCCAGTAACGCACTATCTGCCTTTCATCCAATAAGTATACAGCATCATGTCTGTAGAGCCATTGCCACCCAGAAACTTGTTGTAGGATATGATAATTTTTTGTTTTATTTGTGCATTGCCACCATGTATTCCCTCTACTTCTCTTCTTGGGCTTTGGGATGTCAGAAGAGTAGAATGACAGGATTTCTTTGTGATTTCTTCTCGCAGAAATCACAAGAACAAGATCTGCAATACATTTTTTTGTCCACTTGCAAATTTGTTCTTGAACTGCTGGGGTAAAAGTTTCCTATTCCTGCTAAAAGTTCCAGTGATTCAGCTGATGGGAGATGGCAGACAAGTGGAACAGGCATGAAATAGTTGTCGACAAAGACATAGTAGCCTTTGTTGAGGTACCCTCCAATCTCAAGTAATTTTTTCACAACTGTGTACCGCAGGCGTTTTTTTTAATCTTGTCCTTGTCTACCTAAGACCTGGCCCCTCTGTATGTGAAAACCCCCAGGCATAGTTGGACACAGTCATACAAGATCCAAAATTTGTCTCCCCAAAGGTGGCAGTGCTTGTTAGGCAAATATTGCCTGATATTGGTTTTGTTTTTGGTACCTACCAGGCTTTCACAGAAACTAATTTCTTGAGGAAGTGTGTAGTGATGTCTGAGTACCCTGTCTGCATGGTCCTCATGAGGTTGGTACCTTGAACAGGGATTGTAGCCTAGTTCTGCAGTGCCTGACAGTCCTGCATTATTGTTGAGGTGGAAGAATCGCAGCAAGTAAGAAAAGCAACACTAAATAAACATTTTCCCAAATCATGGAGTGGCTTGGGAACAGAAAGTTGGCCAGTATGTTTCTGTGGTTGGCTTTTTGATTGTGCCCCTATTTAGAATACAGGCAAGGTATCCTTTCATCTCATGCATGGTAATTTTCATCAAGTTCTTTAGTGGAGTGGGAACATTGCCTGCTTTACTGCTAATCATTTCCTGTGCATATCTGTTTTATGCTTGTCACCATGAAGGTAAGGATCAAGTCTGTGAGGAAGAGACAGAAGCAAGCAATAGGAGAATTAGGAGGAGGCATATGTATGCTTAGGTGCAGACAGATTTTAGAATTGGAAAGGAAGAGGGAGAGTTTGCCCAGGTGACAAAATTTCCTGTAGTCTTCATCATCCATGTTATCCTCTTCACTGTTAGACACAGGGTGAGCAGCTGGTGATGTGACATATGGGGTATCTTCTTCACTTGTTTTATCAATGTCACTTTCCAGAATAAAGTCACTATCACTGTTAGTTGTATCTAAATATTCCAACATGTCAAGAGTCATCTAACGTCAGTTATTGTCTAGTTAACGATGTAAAATAACTATGTATACTATAAGCTCTGAAAAATGTAACAAAAATATAATAAATAATATATAACTTATTATAAAATCAAAATACTGCCACTAAGCATTGAGCCACCAATGGGATATTGGTAATATGGAATATAAGTGAGCTTATCATATTTCATTTGTCTTAAAAAATGTATTGTATGTAAAGGGATGCCACCTGGGTGTAAAACAACTCTGAAATTGACCTTGGAGAATTAGGTATCTTGTGCTGCCACCTTTGTGCTCTTTATGTAACTAAAAGAGTGTGATTTAGATGGAGCTGATAAATTGGCCACCTGAGTGTTCTGGTTATTACCCAATGCTCTGATGGATCAGTACACTGAGCATATAAGGGTTAATATATTCAAAGGCCCAATAGATGGCTGTGGTCGCAGTGCAAGGGCCAAGAAAGCCCACCCCTTATACATAATATATTCAAGAACATGCTAATTTCTTTGCCATATTTACTGCATGAATGTATACTGGGTGTCTCTGTTATTGGAAGGGGAGGCACTGTGAATGCTTAATATATTTCCATTGCCTTACTGGGTGAATGTTTTAGATTGTTCCTTAATTTTGGTGATATTTATAAAAATTAATATAATTTAAATTGCATGGAATTGCTGGGTTTTTTATACATTGCAGATGCTGCTGTCATATATTTTACTTTGTCATCTGGAGTAGCAAAGAGTCTTAGTGGAAAGCTGCATCCATCATGTGTATTGTTGAGACTCAAAGTCTGTTTGATTTGCATTTTAAGCCAACAAGTTTTGAGTTCCTTAATGATCTGCATTCAGGTGTCCTGTGCTTAAAAGACTTCAGTATATGTAAGCAAATGTTGCAAAGTGTAAGACATTATAGGGTGGGCTGCCATTGGCAATACACTGCTTCCCAGTTATGTCATGTTGCTGCTTAAATTTCTGAACAGTGTACATAGTAGTCAGTAGGTTGAAAGTGCTGTTTTGTACCAGTGCATTTTACTGTATGAGCTAGGATTTTTATTAGTATTTTGTGTATATATTCAGTATTGTTGTTTGTATGTTCTGTTGGGTATGTACAAGTATAATTTTTTTCTGTTTTCAGATTAGTCCAAAAATTAGAGGAAAAGAGCCCAGATGAAGTTAGTGTTTTCAAAAACAATACAAATAAAGTCATGAAATATATTTTGTTCAGGTTTAAGGACCTTCAGTTTTACACAGGTCTGTTTTCAGCACTTTTCATGTGCAAATGATAGGATGATAATTTTGTAACAAAATGTTACATGAAATTTAACATACATTTGTAATTAGAACTCCTTTATTGTGTAGGTGAATCCATGGACATCGATGGTATGGTTGCCATGCTTGAGTACAGAGACACTGATGGCGATAGTGTTCCTGTTTTAATGTTAGTTAAACATGGTCTAGAAGAAGAGAAGTTTTAGGCAAGGTTGACATCAATATTGAATCGTTAATATAAGTGTACAGAAGTGCAGTTGCAGCAGCATAGAGGTGTCTTGCGTCTGCAACTCTGTAGGATGTGTAACAAAAATAGTATCTGCTCAGGGTCCATATCTATCAAGGNGTAAGTGTACAGAAGTGCAGTTGCAGCAGCACAGAGGTGTCTTGCGTCTGCAACTCTGTAGGATGTGTGTGGGGTTTTTTTCTTAACGTGTAGTCTTTGTCATTCTCCTATGACAACCCACTTCTTCGGAACAATTTGTTGGCCCTGAAAAGGACCNTGTCCAGCGTTCGTTCCGTCGATACACCTAGTTGACTTGCTAAACTCTCCAGCTGCTGCTTGGACAAATCATGGATCCATGTGCGTGGCATTTTGACTAAGCATGGAACACAACAAGAAAAAGTATAAGTACAATATACGTAAACATACACAGAGCCTATGACAGGTTATTTACAATCCATCGACCCAGGCACAGCCTAGGGGGCTATTAATTAGCGTTCCAAAGGTCCTAAGTGAAAATCGATCGCTCTGCTACCACTTGTGCCGCTTACCGCTCTGCTACCACATGTGCCGCTTGTCCGTCTTACGGTCTGCTACCACAGCACCGTCACTCTCTGGCACCTTTCGGCTCCGTCTACCCTTCCTCAATCAGAGGGGGAAACGGTGCTCCGTCATACGGCTCTCGTGCTGTGCTCACACGCTCCCTAAGTTAGAGTAAGGGATCCAAGCTAGCAGCGAGGTAAATCTAGTTACAAATGATGGCAATCAATATAATAACAAATAACAGAATTTAATAAACACAACTAACACATAACCAAAGACAAGAATTCGTTGTTGTTACAGTGCACGAGCCCAAGAAATTAAACAGAACAACTCAACTAATTGCACATTTACATGCTCGCATACAGCGGCATCTAACTCGGGCAGAATGGCCCATATTTACTGGCGCAACAATTTGCCTTGGTTGCATGAAAACATAACTACTACTTTCTAGCTGGGCCACAGGCTGAGTCTAAACCAAATACACAATATGAATTATAAACACAGGTTTAACTAAACTGGTATGAGTCGCCGCCGTACTACAAACCCAACGATGGGCGACCGCGGGCGATCTCGCCGGCCGCAAACCAGCGCACTACTTGCCAAAACCAATTTTGGATTCCCAGCCAAACAGGAATTTGACAATCACTCCGGCTGGCTCGGCGCCGCGAGCAAGGCCTTATGGATCCATAACCAGAACTGTCCTCCGAACTCGAATTAACTTCCAAGCAAGGCTCCCATGGGGGTAGAAAGGAGGGGAGAGGGCAACACCACGTGACCCAGATCCACATGTGGAGGGGGTGGGGGATAAGTTCAAGAACCTCGATCAAGGGGATCAAGGGGCTGGAAGCCCATGACATCATACAGGAGCCATGCGGACATCGATGGTATGGTTGCCATGTTTGAGTACAGAGACATTGATGGCGATAGTGTTCCTGTTTTAATGTTATTTAAACATGGTCTAGAAGAAAAGAAGTTTTAGGCAAGGTTGACATCAAAATTGAATGGTCAATGTAAGTGTACAGAAGTGCAGTTGCAGCAGCATAGAAGTTTCTTGCGTCTGCAACTCTGTAGGATGTGTAACAAAAATATGCTACAGTGAAATCCCTATATAATGAATCCCTGGAGAATGAATGGTATTTCATTAAATCAAGGTTTTCACCAGTTGAAATTAATCATAATTACATTAAGAAATTGCTCATTTACTTACAAACTTCACATGAGTGTGATAAAATTATTTGTTACATAAATAGTTCTACACAAAGAAATACAGTTACTCTGTAATATCAGATTAATTTCTAAAATAATTAGTGACACATGAAACAGTGTTAGTGTGGAAATTGTTTCAGGCAGAGAAAATATATCAATTCAATTTATGTACATTCCGTAAAATCCAGATACAGGTAGACACCATAGGATTTGGAAGAAGTCAAATACAGTTATTCTGCATAATAACAATCTAATTGAAAAATTAATAAGAATACAAATTACATAAATATAAGTTAAATGTGCTTCAATTTGAGACTGTTAGCAGGAATGGTGTCAATGAGTACATCGCTAATAAGTAATAAGATTATAAATTACGTAGATACAACTTAATTATACATGTGCATCACAGTTTGAGCCTTTTGTCAAAAACACTGTCAATGAGTACATCGTTAAAGGTTATAAAATATGTAAGTAAAAGTAAAAGCAAGCAAGAAATCGCCATTCATACATCATAGATCCCCATAAGAGAGACTTGTGAATACAGTAAAATACAGCAAAAAACGGCAAGCGGGATGATAACATAGATGAAAATATTCTTCCAATTAGTATAATTTAATTACTAGTATACAATTATTTTATCTTATTGGCTATAATTTATTTATTCATTCATTCCTTCATATATTTACAGTCATCAAGCCTTAGTTGGGTGGTAAACTAAAATAAACAGTGACCATGAAACAGATCACTTTAATCATTACTGTGGTTAAACTATTCCTCCAGTGAGTAAAATGAATTTAGGAGTATAAATCTTTTTAAAGCAAATTTAAATTGTTTAATATCACGAGTTATGTTCTTTATGCTAGGAGGTAGGCTGTTAAAAACCTTGATACCAAAATAATACGTTCCTTTTTGGAATGCTGACAAATTGCATGTAGAATAGTGAAGGTTCTTATGTCATGTATTGATGCTATGAATTTGAGAGTTAGTTTTAAATTGTTCTCTGTTTTCAGCCATATACAGGGAGATCAAAAAGTAGCACACATCACACTAAGCAATTATATTTTGCTGGTTTAATGCACAAACTACAAGACATACAGCACATACTATTAATGTTTATAACCTTGCATCTTAGAAATGCAAAATCAAAAGATGTCCTTACAACATATGTTCAAAATGGCTTCCCTGTTCAGCAATGCATGTGTGAGCTCTGTTTACCATGTTTGACGCCACTCTGTGGAGCACCTGTAAACTGATGCTGTTAATCACTGTCGTAATGTTCCTCTTGAGGTCATCCAGTGTATGCAGATTGTTTTTATAGACAGTTCTTTGAGGTACCCCCAAAGGAAAGAAATCTGCAGGTGACAAATTGGGCGAAGGCAGGGGCCACAGTCCTTTCGAAATGAGACGGTCACCGAAAAACTCACACAAGAACTGCATGGTTTCATTAGACATGTGACATGTGACACCATCTTGCTGCAACCAACACTCACGTTCATCAACTTCAAGAAGCACAATAAACTGTGTAATGATGTTTTGGTACACTGGAGTGTTCACTGTTGTTTCAAAGAAAATTGGGCCCACTATTCGACAACGTGATATAGCACCCCACACTCCAATTTTCTGAGAGTGCAAGGGCTTTTCATGTAACATGTAGATTTTCAGATGACCAAATCCTCTTGTTTTGACTGTTCACGTAGCCACTAAGGTGAAACCACACTTCGTCAGTGAAGAAAACTCAATCAGACTCTTCAATTCCATGAAAACTCGTTCTTGGGAAAACAACATGTTGGTCACACAATAAACAAAGCTATACTGCAGACGTATGACCAATACATGACAAATGGCATTTCTACTCATTGTTAGTACTCCTACAGGACCATCTAGCCGTAGGAGATATAATTATATTAACTACACTACAATTTATAACAACTTTTGGTTTGATATGCGCAACTTTTTGATTTCCTTGTATAACGAGAGAGAAAATATATACTTGTTTTCATAACAGTTTTGCTAAATCTAGGAATGAGTACCAGAACATCAAACATTTCTTACTCTGTATGTTCGTTATTTAACAAATAAAAATATACTAAATATGGAAGTATGTTGTTTATCTAGGGCTTCGGCCATAGCCAGAGAATATATTTCATTATGGGAACACTAAATTTGATTTGTTTCATTCTGGTCCGTCACACTAACAATTATAAAGACAAGATAACTCCATCCAGTGTGACTATTTAAGTTTTACCACTTGAAAACTTAGCACTTTTACATGTTTTGGTCCTTATGGATCATCTTCAGAGGGAACATCAATACTTATTTGGAAACTGCTATTACAATAGGTGTTCTGAGTGCTAAATTACATACACAATGTCTGGAATACACAAAATCCAATTTTTTTCACAATCACAGCAGCTTTCCTGGTACTAAAGTTTTTAAAACTTTGTTGTTTAAGTTAAAATTTGTAAACCAAGTAGGTCCGTGTGACTTCTCCTATCGTCTTTCTTGAAGGGGGCTGAACTTGTACCGCCTGTCTATCTTGAGAAGGAGATTCTTAGTATCGTCCTGTGTTTGTTCATGGCTTGCTGCGTTGTTTTCACTGTTCAAGTTTTCAAGTGGTAAAACTTAAATAGTCATATTGGACGGAGTTGTTTTGTCTTTATATGGGAACACTAAATAGGAATTTCACTGTATTTTATTTTTAAGCTCATAACCATGAATGAGATTCATTTGGATGGCAAGGTGAGTGCTGCATGTGTTCTCATGGCTGTGTCACCAAAGCTGGGCTGAAAAATACTTCATATTTTCAAACTACACACACACACACATAGTCATTTTTGATACCAAATGGTTGATGTCGCTAGATTGTAATAGAATCTTTACTGATACTGTTTGTGTATGAAATGAGCTTCTCTTAGTACTTTGCAGTTTCAGGTTCTATATACGGAATTTAAATGAAATCCTTATCTTCAGTAAGAGCCACAGTCATGTGGCTAACATCTGTATTTTATGGTAGAATGTGTAGTAATTTGCAAAAACTTGTTGCCATCTCTCTCAAGGTACAGTTCAGCCATTCACTTCAAATAGCATGTGATTGTACCTCAGTCAAATCCTTGTGGACTCAGTTTTCTCATTCACTTTAGTCCAAGCTGTACACTTTGTACTGACATTAACTCCGCAAGAATATATGGAAATGCTTCTATGTAACAGAAACCCAGTAGGAAATAGTGGCTGAAAGTTAAAAATGGTTTTGGTTCATCACATGGGAAAGCAAGTGCAGTGAATGTATCTAGAGTCAGTGACGGTAGGCAGATAGAAACACATACAGCTGAGTTGTTAGTACCTGATTCTAGTCCTGTTTAGGTTGAAATTGCTATTGCAAAAATTGAAAAGGCGTAAATCGCCATGTAATGATTAAATTCCAGTAGAACTGATTCAAGCAGGTGGCGAAACATTGTGGCCTGAGATCAATAAACTCATTATTTCTATTCTTTTACCAGTTTCCAAGAAGGGCAATAAAAGTGACCAGTAATTATCATGGGATATCACTGTCGTCAGCTTCATACAAAATTTTATCCAATATCCCTGTCTCGAGGTCAAGTCCATATATAGATGAAATTATTGAGGGTCATCTGTGGGTTTCAATATAACAGATCAACTACTAATCGGATATTTTGCAATTTTCAAATACTGGAGTAAAAATGGGAGTACAGTGAGGCAGTACATCAGGCATTCATAGACTTCAAGAAAGGCTACGATTCGGTTAGGAAGTGTTGTGCAGTATTTGGGGCACCCATGAAACTAGGCTGATTAAAATGCGTTTAAATGAAATGTATAGTAAAGTCTGTATAGGTAAACATTTGTCTGAGTTTCCTATCTAAAATGACTAAAACAAGGAGATGCTTTATAGCCACTGCTTATCAACTTTGCTTTAGAATATGCCATTAGGAAGGTCCAGGAAAAGCAGGTGGGACTGAAATGCGACATATCAGCTTCTGGTTTGTGCTGATGATGTGAATATGCTGCGATATAACATAGATACCATAAAGAAATACACAGAAACTTCAATTGATGCTAGTAAGGAGGTTGTTCTAGAAGGAAATGCAGAGAAAACTAAGTACATGTTGCTGTCTTGTCACTAGAATGCAGAGCAAAATCAAGGCATAAAGATAACAGATGCTTTGACAATGTCCACAGTTCAAATATTTGGGACAACAGTAAAAGGAAAAATTTGATTCAGGAGGAAATTAAGAGGAGGCTAATTTTGGGTAGTGCTTGCTACCATTCAATCCAGGAGCTTTTATCTTCTGTCTCCAAAAAAAATTCTGTCGCCTGTAATCCACTGTTTGTTGGCAAAGTTAGTTCTGTTTGTTGTTTACATTCCCTACAGAACGGACAGTACTTGGTAAGATGAGCACTGACTAAATAATTAACATTAATATTACTACATCTACATCACGAGCCTGCAATAACAGTGTTTATATACACATAAATATAGAATACTCCAACTTGTCTGTGGGAACACAACAAAATTACAAAAACCAGCGACTGACTCGATGATGTAAAGCATCAATTGAAGAATTTTATTCTTGTTTTATACTATAACTTTTATTTTATATAATCTAATTTATTGTATTTTTACATCAAGTATTTTATATAATATTGTATCCAATTTTACTAGTACTGCATTTCAGTGGTGTGTATATGTTAGCCACATATTTGCCTGATGATGGCTATTAATAGCCAAAACATGTAGGAGAGCCAAAACTAGGCACTGACATCAATATAGTTGTGTTGTGACGGTTTTAATAAAGAAGGAGATATAATATTTAGGTAATCTAGCTGGCACCACAGTATTTTTACTGTGAAGAAAGGCCTAAAATTGAGAAATACAAAAAGGAGGTTTTATTGTCCTTGTAAGTGAATGAAAGCATGTTTGAATACCATGCATCAGTATTTTCTGTAGGTGCATGGCGCTGCACATGCAAAAGTAAAATGTCTAATAGATATGTGGTATGCATACTATATGTACACCTGATTTGAATGGCATGAGGTAGTGACAACAGACTAAAATGATGTGATATATAACCTGAACATACTGAAAATATCTTGTACATAAAACAAATAATATTGCTGTGTGGCTGTGTACATTTT